CTAAGGACGTCCACACTCGCAAAGTCATTATCAGGAATATTAACCCCTATTTTCACAGCCCTAAGAATAAGATCAGGATTAGACAAGGTTTCAAAAGAATTAGGGCTTTACACCATACCTTCTATATCTCTCTTTTTAGTTGCTGCCATGGCCTTCTCATCCACCCTCTCCATCATGATGTGGCATTCCTCAGGCTGAATCGCCAGATTCTCTTCAGTGACTAGTGGGGGAGCAGGCAGCCCCTCCCCAACCTGCTCAACTTCAGGAGATTCAACCCTGTATTCCTGAGTGGTAATTAGGGTACGATCACAGTCCCTAGTTACTTCCACCACCTGATGACATTTTACCACATCAGAGTAAGTTTTCTTAGGGCAGATCAGGTTACATGACACAGTTTTCTCAGCAAGGGGGATTACTTTTTCCTGTTCCCTCTCTTGGGCCATAGTATCAATGAGAAGTGTAGTGTGCAGCGAGTCATCAGACTCCACACTCTCCTGCGACTCCCTGATGGGGTCTGGTTTCCCTCCCCGGGTAGTAAAAGGAGATTTTCCATAAGACACAGCAGGAGGATCTTTTTCTTTATTTCCAGGAGTCGACAGGGGACGATTTTGTCCATCAACATTGCCATCAGGCTTAGCAGGAGTCTGGACAACTTTTTATCTCTATTAGGATCTTTCACCAGTATCCGTTCCACTTCATAATAAAAGTCATAAAAGTAATCTCCCAGCACAGCTTCAGCAATCACAGGAATTTCATCTACATTTCTGCATCCAATCCTCACCCGGACAGAAGTCGGGCGGTGCAAAGTGGCAGCATCAATCTCCAAGGGAACCCCAACTAGTGATGTTACATATGCCAAGTTCCTCTCACTTATTTTATCCAAGGGAACGTTGCTGACCTTAACCCACGCCATTTCCATCTTTCCTTTAGCCCCAACCGCAGACGACCACGGTGTGGCATGGATAATAGCACCACTAGTCTTAAGCTTCACCCTCCCCACATAGCAAATCTGAGCTACAGCTGTGGATCAAGTTTTCGTTCTCTTCGTTTGTGTGGTTACATGTTTCATCTTTCCGATCTACTTTGTTGGTGCACTAGTCCTTTGGGGCCTTAGCACACCGATTTCTCGACTGTCTACTACAACAAGGTTTGCCCAGCTCCAATGAGGGCGCGCCTTCGGCTCACTTCAGTGCTTCTAGTCGTCGCTAGGTGGTCTATAGACCTAATTGTAACATTTATTATCTCTAGTGTTCTCTATATTGCAATGATTGATGAATAGATTGAAATTTTCCTCGCACAAAATAATATTTATATCAACTTCCCATTTAATAGTATCTCAAGCTTGTCTCAGAAACTTTTGGTGGACAGGAATCAGGGATAATAATTCAAACAGAAGTCTTTGTCTCAGAGCTTGGAAGGACATTTGTAGAGCTAAGAATGAAGGAGGGTTAGGTATTAGAAACCTCCAAGCCATTAATGAAGGCCTTATTCTTGCTTCAGCTTGGAGACTTGCAGATGCTCCTAACTCTTATTTGTACCTTGTGCTCAAATCCAAATACTTTCCGAACTCTTCCATTTGGACTGCTACTTCCACTGTTTGAAAATATGCTTATTGGTCTTACATTCTCAAAATACTTCCCAAGTTAAAAGCCCACTCTTTCTACCAAATTACTCAAGGGAATATTGCCCTCTGGAGTTCCCCATGGTGTTCTTCCTGGTCCACTATTCATAATCATCTCATCATTCAGCCACCTGGCTTTATTTATCCTGCTCAGGTTAATGATCTATGGCTTCTTGGGCAAAAAACTTGGAACAACAATCTTATTCATTCTCTTTTCCAAGAGCCTATGGCTACTTCTATTACTCAAACCTCCATCATTCAAGATGACTGCCCAGATATTCTCTGTTGGGACCTCGCTCCGAGTGGCAAATGCACTTCTAAATCCACTTATAAATTGTGCTTGCAGGATATTCAAAGCATTCCTAGGAATACTCCCTCTCAACTATCTTTGTAGGTTAAAAATCTCCTCACTCGGGTTTGGAAGCAAAAGTTGATTGCACCCTGTGTTCAAACTTTTGCATGGAGACTTCTTCGAAAAGCTCTTCCTACAGGTTTGCGAGCGGGGTGGTGAGGATGAAAATGAAATGCATCACTTTTTTCTTTGCGATTTTGCTAGAGCAGCCTGGTTTGGCCACCCTTGGTATATTAGATCTGATGGCTTGGTTCAAAATCATTTCTCTATGCATAGTATTATTCTCAGTTTACTAAATATGAATCATCCTCATGCATATATATCTAACATACTAAATTTTATGTGGTGCATATGGAAAGCCAGAAATGATAAGCTTTTTGACAGGCGCAATTCTCAACCTCATCATGTTCACATTGCTGCAAAAGCTTTGTCTGACCAATATACGACTGTGTCAATTTCTTCTAATCAGGGACAAGCTATTGGTCAAGTTCATCAGCAAGGAAATAGTTGTGTTATTCCTGCTCAAGGGCACACTCTCAAATCTGATCTTCTTATATCTGGAGCAAAATTTATTCTGATGCTGCTTTTAAATGTGCAAAGGTTCCAGGATTACCACGTGGCACAACAGCTACAGGAGTAGGAATGTTCCTCAGTTTTTTCAGGACCAATCGGAAGTGAATGTGCAAATTCAAGCTTCTACCCAGAACACCAGCTTGCCACTTCAAGCGGAAGCTCTTGCTTTGCTTTTTGCAGCTCAAGTCGCCCATAGACTTCAGATCTCTAGGCCTACTTTTCTTACTGATTGCCTCTCTTTGGCAAAGCAGCGGCGGCAAGAAGTGTATTGACAGATTCTACCCCTTGGACCATCAGAACTTCTCTAGCTGAATTTTTCTCCTTTACAAATGATCTCCAAGCACAGGTGTATCACATATCAAGAGAGATCAATGGTATTTCTCATAATGTGGCTCATCAGGTTCTTAGAAGTTTACCAGAACCTGACACTAGTTGTTTTGCTTCAGCTCATACAAACATGATATGCCCTGTTGTTTCTCTCCTGTCTAATTACAATTCAAGGGCTATGTAATTCACGCTGTAAGATGTTACTGAGCTAAATGTATTGGTTGGCGCTTTGTGCGCCTTTCTATGTTCAAAAAAAAAAATCTCATTTAAGGGCTCATTTGGTAGGCCGGGGAATATTTCCCAGGGAAGCAAATCCCATCGGGGATAGGTGGAGAGATGGGGAAAATTCTTCTGGTGTGCTGAGATCGGGATTTTCTACCCAGGGAAATTAAGGGGATCCCGGGTGGATCTCGACTTACCAAACGAGCCCTAATAGTAGTATAACTTCCCACTGTTCTGGGATCCTCTGATGGGCCCGCGAGCAACCAGGTTCCGACATTTGGCCCACCCCGAAACACGCCTCCACCCCGACCGAACCAACCAACATCCGCCGCCGATCTCTCGCCACTCACTTTACTCATTCCAGATTCCACTCCAACCACCCGCAAAACCCTAGCTAGCCACGCCCGTGCTCCCCTGACCACCTCCGCCGGCGCCGGCGATGGCCAGCCAGTTCTCCAACGTCGACCCGGTGACGGCGGCCGACATGCGGCGCCAATGCCTGGACCCGCACGAGCTGGACCGGAGGACGGAGCAGCTCATGTCGCTCATCCACGGCAACCTCCCGGACCCGCCCGTCTCCACCACCGCCCGCCTCACCGCCTTCCGCGCGCGCCCCTCCGACGGCGTGGACCGCATCAGCCGCCTCTCCGACGCGCTCCTCCACGACATCGTCTCCCGCCTCCCCGTCAAGGACGCCGCCCGCACCGCCGCGCTCGCCGCGCGCTGGCGCGGGGTCTGGCGCTCGACGCCGCTGGTCCTCGTCGACACCCACCTGGTCTCGTCAGCGCGCGCCAGCACGCCGGACGTCATCGCGGCCGTCTCCCGCGTCCTCGCCGCGCACCAGGGTCCCTTCCGCTCCGTCCACCTCACCTGCAGCCGCATGGGCGCGTACCAGGCCCAGCTCAAGCGCTGGCTCCGTCTCCTCGCCGCCAGGGGCGTCCAGGAGCTCGTCCTCGTCAACCGCCCGTGGCTGCGCGAGGTGCCCCTCCCCAAGACGCTCTTCACCATCTCCACCCTCACCCGCCTCTACATGGGCGTCTGGAAGTTCCCGGACGCGGCCGGCCTCCAAGGCGCCTCCTTCCCCCACCTCCGGGAGCTCGGCATCTGCAGCGTCGCCATGAAGGACGGGGACATCGACGCCGTCGTCTCCAGGAGCCCCGCCCTGGAGATCCTCAACATCCAAGGGAGCATGAAGGGGGTGCATCTCCGCCTCGTCAGCCACAGCCTCCGTTGCGTGCAGATCTGCTCTTTCGTCATAGAGAGCGTCAACGTGGTGAACGCCCCGCGTCTCGAGCGTCTCATCCTGTCAGAGTGTCTCAATCCTGCCGGCGGATCGTGCATCAGAGTAAAGATTGGCAACGTCCCCAAGCTGAAAGTATTCGGGTTCCTGGAGCCAGGAAAATACGTGCTAGAGATCCAAGACACTGTCATCATGGTACTACCATTACTGTACATCCATCCTCTGAATGATCATTCAACTTTGTTCAATTTGCGAACAAGTGCAGTTCAATGTGCCATCTTTTTTGCTGAATCTGATCCATTTCAGGCTGGGATTAAGACAAGTGCAAGCATGATGGTCACAAGCGTGAATGTCCTTAGTATGAAGGTGTGCTTCGGAGTCTACGACGATGTCAAGATGGTGCCCGCCTTCCTCAAATGCTTCCCCAATGTCGAGGCGCTGCATATTACGGTACTAGCACTGGTATCCTCATGTATGTTGATGGTGCACGATCCATTACCTGCTGAAATGTTGACGAAATTACGTAATTTGCAGTCTGAAAAATGCGATCAACTCGCTGGCAAGTTCGACCTCAAGTTCTGGGAAGAGGTTGGTCTCATCGTAAGTGTGCTCTTGCGGCTCAAGGTGATCACGTTTCGTGAATATCGTGCCAGGCAAGATGAGCTTGCCTTCCTCCAGTACATCTTGCAGCATGCAATGGTGCTCAAGTATGCAGTGGTTCAGATGGTCAATCCAAAATTCACTTCACTGTCAGTAGATGAGATGGCCTACACCATAGACAATATGCAGCCTCCTAAAAATAAAAAGTGGGCCAGCACAGTTGGTTTATTAACCATGGGGACTCATGGTCCTGAAGGAGGTGAAACTTGGACTTTTCGGAAAGGAGCAGACCTCTCCGACGACGACCCTATTGCACCAGTTAAATTCATCATAAGGGGTTAGTGTTGTTTTGCAGTATCTATAATTCTACACATGATCGATGCACAGATTTAGATTCTCAGTATGTTCCAGTATCTCAAGATTGTGCTAACATGATTATTCAATATATTGGTGAAGTAATTCAGTAGTGCTATTGTACAATATATATGACCATCTAGCAACATATTTATTGCTTGGTCATTGCATCCTGTAATCCTGATTTCTCATTAACAAAATTTGATTACCCCTATAGTGTTTCATTCTAGAGTTATTCCAGTATGAAATGTGAATCTTTGTGTATACCTATGCGAGCTAGGTTGTTTAATTTAGGTATGCATTTATTTAGCTTTCAACCTCATGACCACTAGACATCCTAGATCAATTGTTCCTTGGACACGAGTCTCAAATTTCAGGTTGCATGAATGTTTCTCAATTTTGATTTTGCACAAAGTTATGATGCATGCATGTTGTTTCCACTTAGCCCTACTACACTAGCCAAAGTACTTACCTTGGCTAATTAGCCACTAAAATTACAGTCCATCACATCTACTCCCTCCGTCTTATAATGTAAGATGTTTTTTGACACTACGCTAGTGTTAAAAAACGTCTTACGTTATGGGACGGAGGGAGTACCGTTTATGTAATGCGCCTCACTTACTGGCAAAATTCACACATTGCCAGGACCATAAGTTTGCATTTGGATATACGGCCTCAATTTCTTCACCATGTCTCCGTTCCTTCCGTTCTGCTATGTTGCTGGACCACTTGTCTACTCCATCCTAATCAGGCTGTCTTTTGTTATGCATTTGTGCGGCATCAGTTGCAGGCCCGGCGACGCGCCAGCACAAGTCACGAGCTGCCAAGCATCGCAACTGAGATCTTCGACGCAAGGAGTTATGCACCGTGGGTGTGTTTAATCTGAAGAATTAACCTACCTGGTTGCCTTCCATGGTTCTTGTAGTGATAGAGTGCTGAAAATGGTGTCAAGTTCCTACTCTGTTTTGCATGAGTCTGTGTGTGGTGGTCCATGGCCAGAGATCATTCTCCAGTAACTGAAAAAGACATGGTGTAGTTGGCAACTTTAGGCACTGTAGTGATCGAGTTCTGCAATGCTGTCAACTCTAGTTGCTTCGTTTATTTATGATGAACTACCTGTATACCGAGCTCATTCTAGTTCTAGTTCAGTATGGCCGGAGCTCATTCTCTATTACTGTGCCTAAAAAGGCATGGTGAATTTGGCAGCTACTCCCACTAGTGTCACAAACGTTTTTATATTATGGGACGGAGGGAGTATTAGGCAGAACTAAGGAATCCTTGGACTAGAAACAATCAAAGCATCAATCGTTTCTACACACGCAACATCAATCAAGCATCAATCATTACTCAGCAATGCAACTTGTGCTAATTCAGGATAGTACCCTTGCGCGCGCGACTCGATGGCGAAAGCCTAGCGCCGCCGGGCTCCTCCCTCGCCCTGGTCCCTCATCGCCGCCCCGCCTAAGGCTGGCGCCGGCCAAGAAAGGTGGCGGCAGGGCCGTGCTGCTCCGCCCTGGTGGAAGGTGTGGAGGGCCCCAAGATTATAGTTATGAATAATAAAGAGTTGAGTTACCCCATTGTGAGAGTGTGATATCTCAAGTCTATGAAGGTCATCAGGAGTGTGGGTACTAGAACCACCAGGCGACGGGTTCCTACAGTTCATCTCGGAGCTGAGCTAGCCCTCGGATTTTCAACAGTAGTGAGTTCCGGTTCCCTGACCAGCCAGTGGCAGGCGCTACCGCTACGGCCGGTCATTTTGCATCCTCTGCCATGGCAGCTGAAGAAGATGATTTGTACAGTTAAATTGTCTATTGTGCTTTTTCCTTGATGTACTTTTCTTGTTTGTGGCGATCTTGTATTGTCATATGTAGGGCAGGGAAAGATCATGTACTTAATTTTACACTCATGTTCTGATACAGTGAAGATCATGGCTTCCACTTAGATGAAGAAAAGTACGGAAAAAGAAATGCAAATCTTCAATGTCCTGCTATCTCTAGGTTCGAATGTCGATAGGAGGCATGCTATTATCCGAATACAAATCTTTATTGTGTACTTGCTCTTAATTTCCTTGATGATGTCAACTGTAAGACATCGAAAGGTCATCTACTTATCTTTACGTTCTTGTTCTGATATAATGAAGATCGACCCCACAAAAAAAGAAAAGGATATAATGAAGACCGTATCTTCCACCTAGATGAAGAAAGAGACATCGCCTGTCTCAACTATGGAAAAAGAAACACAAACCTTTGATATCCAAGTATTGGCATGTACTCCCTCCGTTCCCAAATACTTGTCTTCCTAGTCATTTTAAATGGACTCAACATACGAATGTATGTAGACATATTTTAAAGTGTAGATTCACTCATTTTGCGCCGTATGTAGTCACTTGTTGAAATCTCTAGAAAGACAAGTATTTAGGAACGGAGGGAGTGGTACTCTTGTAGTACGTTTGCTGCTCTACGGGCTGTGCTGAACTGCTGGTTGGTTCACTTGGTTGAGAAAAGTCACACATTCAGTACCTGAATGTCAATACAGGGTATTAGTACATGGAAGGTATGATAAACGACAGCAATGTAGCTTGAAAACCATGCCTGTGCAGCCTCGATATATCTCCGACGGACAGAAATACGCAGCAGTTTTGCAAGAATGAAACCAGTGCTCCCACAGATGAAATCAGTGCTACCACTGTTCTTCGGTAAACGGCAGGAAACAGGAGGCAGGTTTTCCTGCCAACCCAAACTGAAGATAAAAGGTACTGTTAGTCAAATTATCAAAAAGAAAGAAAGTTTCTGACCCAAAAATGCCAAGCTATAAAAATTGCCGAAGTTGTCAAAGAAAATCTGCGCTGTTACAAAACACATGTGCCCAAATTCAGGTCGCCACAGCTATCATAAATCCAACACTTAATTTATTGCATCGGGTAAGTGGTATCTTCTGAAATTAGTTAGAATGTTGGCAATACTTTGGTGTAGTGGATGCTGGGTTTCCTTTTGTTCCTTGTGGAAAAGTAGGCATCATAGTCTCTACGATGCACTGTCTCAATTTTTGGATTCTCCGGAAAAATGACTGGATTATTCATGTCGATGTTGATTAGTTATTTATTCTCAAGCTAAGTTGGCTACCATTGAAATATTGCTAGGAGACATAAAGGCCACAGGAGAAGAGTTGTTTGGATGTTTAAACCGGTAGAAATCTTAATTTGATACCTGAAATCTGTAGAAACGAAACATATATTTTATTGTAGTTTAGTAACTGAATCTTTTAGCCTTTATAATGAGAGCTCTTGTTCTTGATAAGTAGGTGTGGAGTAGCAGAGGCACTTGATATCTGTACTTTCCCTACTATAGTTAATCAGCGTGTGTGCATGTTTAAGGTGCTGAGTTACAACTTACATCAGTGATATTTAATTATACAGGGACTTCTGTAGGGATTTCAGAAAAATTATGTACGTGTGGTGAAGAAAAGGCAAGGATGCTGTGGCTGGCTGCAGATTTGCCTATCTAGAAGATCCATGTTTTTCTTTCGGTTGTCTTTTTGGAAGGTTCGGCAAACGACAGAGAACAGGAGCCCGGCTTTCTTCTTGATGGTTTCAGGATAGCCTCCATATGCCTACGGATATAAATATCAGACCACCAAAATCAGTAAATTACTTTAAAGGGAAAAAAATGAAGCACTCGCCAGGCAATTGTGAAGTTAAACGATCTCTAAATTGCTGCAATACCTGAAGAAGATACAGCCTGAAGACCATCCATAGCTTCCATGGATACACCAAATGTGCATGTCTCTAGCACATCTTGTTTAAGGAACACCTACCTTCCAGCAAGAATTGGACAGCTAGTCTAATTTTCTCACGCTCAACATTTTCAGAGTAACACTGTCAATAGGATCAGGCCCAAGCTGCTCCAGCCTAACCAATTGGCTGATACTTGTGGATAAGCAAAGCAAACTACTACCAAAACAACAACCATACATGGCAAGGCAAACCATTGGAATGCTCTTATTAACAATAATGACATCAGGAAATAAGCCCAGCAGATTGGACAACAGTCACCTGATGCAGAATATCAGGACAATCATGTGGCAGAGATAGTAACCACAGGCTGATGAAACGAATCCGTACTTTTGAAATATCAGTTTGCCAAAAGAAGCACAAATTCAGTTGTTACACCCAAAGAGGCAACAAAGCATTGGCAGTCATCCATCAATCAATTCCCCATCCAGCAATAAAAGCACTTAGGCTTTGTTCGGTTAATCCCATCCCTAGGTGGATTGGGGGGGATTTGCAGGGATTTTGGCTTGTAGGGGATTAATTCCCCCTCAATCCCCTTCAATTCCACCTCAACCGAACAAGCCCTTAAGAGTTCCAGATAACCAGAGTCGACAAGCACTAACTAAAGCAACAGAACCAGCTAGAGTCGCTACTACTAGATAGATACAAGCAATGCAGATGCAATCTAGGAGGAGGTGAACTTGGTGACGGCCTTGGTGCCCTCAGAGACGGCGTGCTTGGCGAGCTCCCCGGGGAGGACGAGGCGGACGGAGGTCTGGATCTCCCGGGAGGTGATGGTGGGCTTCTTGTTGTAGCGGGCGAGCTTGGCGGCCTCGGCGGCGAGCTTCTCGAAGATGTCGTTGATGAAGGAGTTCATGATGGACATGGCCTTGGAGGAGATGCCAATGTCGGGGTGCACCTGCTTCAGCACCTTGAAGATGTAGATCTTGTAGGTCTCCACGCTCTTCTTCGCCTTGCTGCCCTTCTTTCGGCCCCTCGTCTTCGCCTCGCCGCCGGCCTCCTTGGACGCCGTCTTGCCCGCCGGCAGCCGCTTCTCCGCCTTGGGCTTCTTCGCCGCCGGGGCCTTCTCGGCCGCCTTCTCCGTCGCGGGCTCCTCCTCCGCGGGCTTCTTCGCCGCCGGCTTCTTCTCCGCCTTGGGGGCCATCGCTTGTTCGGGAGAGTGGGGGATTTGCGGGTGCGTTGGGTGTGCTGGAAGAAGGTGGGGGATTTGGGGCGAGATGGGAGGAGAGGAGGAGCGGGGCTGCTGGGTTTATACGGAGGGGGAGGCGGGCGCTGATTGGTCCAGGGGTGGTTGCCCCGGATCGGTGAGGTGGAGCCGTAGGATGCGTTCGCCGATGTTCGGTGTGGACGGGCGGGATGCGTTTCGGAGCGGATCGCTGTTTTTTTGTAAGGGCAAAAATGATCTTGGCGGGAATGGAAAGGCCGGAACGGTTTTGGATTTCGATTACGGAAGGGGAGCGCGCGGCTGCGACAATGGTTTTGGATTTCGCAGGCTCAGATTTTGAATCCTACAAGCCACCAGCAAGCACCTAAGCCATGATGGCCTTCATCAGAAAAAAAAACCATTAGAGCACCTACAACCACCGGACGCACCGTATGCTATCCAAACGCTCGATGGCCTGTTGGGTCACTGTCCGACAAAAAAGACCACCGCCGGCCTTCTCAAACAAAGCTCGAACATCTGGGTTGTCCGGCAACCCCATACCCGAGCCCAGAGACCATCGTCACGTCAGGCCATCCTACTATGGTCCGTGTCGTCCTCATCTCCATTCCCACAAAAACCTGAAGCCTGACACCAAACCCTGGTCAACCGCACTTTCTCAGCCTTTCCGCTCCACTTTCATCTCCTCACCTTCATTTCCCCGCCCTATCCCTCGCTCCATCAACTGAGAGAAGCTCGTCGTGGACCATCGAGATCGTCGACGGCGAAAACGTGGAGCTAGCGGTTCGCGTTGTACTCCGCCGCTCACGGCTAGTTCGGGGCGGGAGCTCCTTGTCCACGGCGTCGGCGGCGGCCCGGGTGGGCACTTGCAGCTCCGCGACACCCCGCGGGCGCACGACGCGGTCCATGCCTTATCGGGCAGGCGACACGGCGACCAATGGCGCCCGACACTGCCAGCAGTTGCTCCTCCCGGGCGCCGTTGGGTGCTCGTGTCCACAAGGCAGCCAGAGTCCAGGGTTGCTGGGTTTATATGGACGGGGAGTGTGACGCCCAGATAATTAAGCTATAGTAAGCCTCCACTAATGTTGCCACGTCACCACTATTACTGTTGGTAAACTCGCGTTGATTCAAATCCTGTTCAAATTCAAAAGCAAGTCAAACGGCAAAAGTTTTCAAACTTTCAAACTAAAATGTTCTGGGTGTGGAAAATAATCCCTGGATATTTTTCATGTTGAACACATATTTTATAAAATTGTTTTTGTTTTAAAAGCAATGGAAAGCAGAAAACAAATAAAAGAAAAGTAAAAGAATCAGAAATAAAATAAAAGGGAACCCCCTGGGCCAAAGCCAGCCAACTGGCCCGGCCCACTCCCCCTCCCTCGCTCGACCTCCTGTTCACCCGACTGGGGCCGCTACAGGGGGCGCCCCGCCGGACCAGCTCGACGGTGTCGACGAGTGGATAAGAGGTTGCGCCCGCAAACTCTCTCCCTCCCCTGGAACCCTAGCCGCCCACTCCCCCCCCCTCCCCCCGCGGTCAGATCCAGGTCCACCTCTCCCATCTCCTCTGGCTTGATTTTGAGCTCGCAAACTCACACGGTCGCGGCTTCTCCACTGTCGTTGACACGTCCACCGGCCTCTCCGGCGCTCGGGAGCACATCCCGGGGGTTCGTCGCGTTCGTCCACCTCCATTCAGGGCATCGGAGCAAGGCTGGAAGCTGCATGGACGGAGTCGTCGACCTCTTCTTCCTCCTCTCATCTCCGTCGCGTACATTATCGGCCGCCGTCGTCGACTGCCTCATCTCCGGCCCGTCCCCGGCCTCCTCGAGTCCACTTGTAACAACCTGATTTTCGGCCCTTTCTTTTGATTTTGATTTTTTGAGGTTTTTGCGTGAGTTTTCTTTTTCCGTGGCTTAGTGGTCTGGAAAATGAAGAAGATGACCTCTTCTTTCTTTCCGGAGTGGCTTGTCATACCCAAATCTTTCCCTAGACCTTTCCATTTCCACCTTGGACCAAATTCCAATATTCTTTTTATTGGGAAAATTCCTTTTCTATTAAAGGAATAACTGAATTTGCCCTAGGTTGTGAAGCAACCTATATCTCCATCACTCCTAAAATTCCCAAATAATTCTCATAATTGTTTGGGTCATATCTTCCTCAAATATGGCAAAACTTTTCATTTCCATGTTTAAAAATAATCCTCAAATAATTCATTTCCTATTCTGTCCTAAATGGCTCATTGTGAAGCAAGTGCTATTTTCCTTTGCCAAATTAACCTCAAACTCCTTGGACACCTTTTTCTGTCCATATCATTGCCACATGCAAAAATGCAACCTCATTTGCCTATTAGTTATTAAATTATGATTTTCCAAAGTTTCTGTCCAGAAAGAAGCTTTGTGAAGGAGGTACAAGCTAGGCACATCCAAACTAGTTGCAATTTTGCATGGTCCTTCATATCATCGTATCATAGCCCTCCACCCAAGTTGAGCTCATATCATGCCTCCATGTGAGCTCATCTTCAATTATTTGATTCTGTCCAAAATTTCAGTCAGTGAAGCAAATATAGTTTATCTTGCTCCATTATGGCTGAAATTTTTTCTAGGCCTTCTAGTATCCATATAACCTATCTCCACCCATTTTGGGCACATTTCATCAGGCCATTATTCCTCTAGAGTTTTTGCAAGTTTTTGTCGAGAGGAGATGTTTGTGAAGCAAGTACCATTTTGGCTTGGCCAATTGGTATGAGACTTTTTGAGAATCTTCATAAGATCAAATGACTCTGCCTTGCCCAATTTGAGCTCAAGTTGATACTCCATGTGAGTGCATCATCATGCTCAAGTTTCTGGACCATTTTGGTCAGTTGCAAAGCAACTATATTAAACCTTGGTCATTTTCTCCTCAAAATCCCGAGGATTGTAGTCCATACTAGCCTAAACACCCGGACATCACATTTGACCCATAGCATCTCTCTGTTGACCACACTTAGTTGATCAAGTTTGCAACAACAAACTTCAGAGGTTAATCCCCACTTAACCACTACATCTTTAACTAAGCCACCACCTCAGTTACGACCTACCCTGGAAGGACAAAACCCCAGACAACTTTTGCCAGCTCGCTGAATCCTCCAAATGCCAGTTCTGGTGGTGACCATCGATTTGGCATGCAGTTTCACGCGCTCTGTGCGTTGTGGCGTGTCCAGAGCACTGTTTGTGCTTTGGCACCGCTCCCTCTCGTCGTCTTCGCGCGCGTGAGCATGTCCCTTGTCTTTCCCCCGTCATCGCCGTTCCCATGGACCCCTCTCCCCCTCCGGCAGCTTCCTCACCGACGCAAACCGCCGCGTGCCCACGGACGTACAATGGCGACTTTGGCTCGGAGCTCGCTCGTCTATTCTTCCCCGTGCTCCCTTGGTTGCCTCTTGCCCCCGTGCGCTCTTCCCTGTGTCTCCCCGTCGCCTTATCCTCGAGCCCATGCACGAGCACACGCGTCTGCGGCGCTGGCCACGCGTCTGCGGCGATGCCAGCTTGGCCAAGCCCTCGCTCGGATATATAAGCCCCTCCCCTCGCCTCCCGAGCACCCAACTAGCTCCACCTCTCTCCCAGGAACCTGCCTAGCCTCTCCACCGAGTCGGAGCTGCTCTCCTCATTGCTCACTGTCACCATGGCCGTCGCTTCCCTCCGGCTAAATCCGCCCGAACCAAGCCCTCCCCCTCCTTCCTGACCTCGCCAAAGGACCACCCGGACCCCTTAGATCCTTCCCAGGCCCTCTCTCCCTCGCCGGAGCCACTGTGGCTACAACCCCATCTCCACCCAAAGCCCCCTCCACCGGAGTGCTTGTTGCTCTCAACCCTGCCCTCCTCGAGGTCCGTTCTACCATGGGATGGGTGTGGCTCATCACGCTGATCACCCCAGTAGGTCGGCCAGCGAGAACGATGGCCGGAGCCGCCCAGGACCCTCGCCGGAGTGTGTCGTTCCTCCCCTGCATCGGGCGCGAGCGGGAGGAAGAAGGAGTTGACCTGGCCAGGCGGGCCCCAGCCCCGCGGCCCCACCTGTCGGCGAGCGGGCATTGACCCCGCCTGCCCACATGGATAAGTGACGGGCCCCACCGCCCGTGGGACCCGCCCGTCAGCGACCACGCTCCCGGTCCCACCTGTGCTGACTGGGTAAGTGGAAATGTCTTTTAGCTAGTATGTTTTCTTCGTAGGAAAGCATAATCCAGTGAGCTTCAGGTAGAAATACGCTTTCACTTCTCTGAAAGCGTACTCTGTTTCTACTACAGCTTGAAATACGCTTCTCCATTCTAAAAACGTATTTTCTGAAGTGCGCCTTCTGTTTTTCTGCCTAAGCCCAGTCTGAAAATCTTTTTATTATAGATGGGTCCCTGGCAGAAACCCTTCACAACCTTTTGCTCGAGACTCCAAATGAGGTGAATCCAACGCCCATTTCTTCGTCTTGTCGATCCCGTTCTGTTGGTCACACTTTCTCTATGGTTTGACATTCTGAAAATGACCTTTTTGCCCTTGCACGTAAACAGCCCCCTCCGAGAGAGGACTGTTTCCAACGAATCTTTCCGCGGCTTCACCGCACTTCACCCCGGTGCCTTCTTCATCCCCAGGCAAGCCACAATACCCACTTGCATGATAGTCATGCAGTAGCCATGGTTTTCAACTTGAATGTTTAATAGATGTTTGCTTGTTTAAAATATGGTTATCATTATTTTGGTGATGGTTAGAGTTCCATGTTCACCTTCATGCTATGTTGTTATGCACTTGGTTACCATGTATTCTTGCTAGCGTTGCTTTGTATACTTATGCTTGCTAGTAGTACATGTTGATGTCAGTGATGGTCCTCGGTGCATGACTGTCGTCTGCTCCGAGTACCATTGTTATGCATGTTCCATTGCATCCAGTTGGTTCAATGCTTGCATGGTAGCATTGTTGATATGTTCTTGCATGATATTTATTGTTGATGCTAGTGGTTATGCTATGT